TGTGAGTAAATTTCAAGCAATGTTTTAAATTTTGTTGGTTGTACATGTCACCTCTGCCTCACAGTTTTTAGGTTACAGACATTATATTGCCTGGAAAAGGATTTTATTCCTTCCCAAAGGCAACCTACTTGAATGGTGGCCAATCTGTTCAGCGATTATAAGGACTATTGGCAGTGAATACTTACAGGTCCGTGCACAAAAATCTTTTTTGCATGCCTCACTTCAGAAGTGACTAGGGATCATCTGACAGCCGATGTATTCTCCAGTCATTAGTCATCGCGTTGTCAGAAAAAACCCATGACTAGCCCTGAGCACTAAACGACTAAAGATTAGATTATTGGGGAAAGTTCAGCAAATACGTAAAATACGATAAAAAAGATCAAAATTTCCCCTTAAATTCACAAAGAAGTGATAGGATTCGTGAGTGAGAGAGGGTCATAGAAACTTGGGTATGAAATAAGTAAAAAATGCTATTTGAGATCAAATTTGAAGATTTAATTTCGAGGGGCATGGTTGGTCAGCCATATGTGTAATAATATTTTAGCTCAACTAGTGTCTTTCTCTGACATAGACATGCATAAATAATTTACATACAGATCTTCCAAATATTTATATGAATAAAAGGGGAAACCAAGGCAATATTTGTGAAGAATTGTTTTCTTCTTTAACTTACCACTTATGCAATTATATTTTTCCAAAGCTTATGTTAGGATAATCTTGAGTCATTATTGTTAGTATATATCATACACACATTTTTAAGGACCTTACTTTGTTTCTTTTAAAAGTAAATAAAGGCTATAGTCTGAATTCTTCAGTTTTATTTTCTTTGTCTTAGAATGCTCTTTTCTCCCTCAAACCAATACGCTTCAGCCTGATTCCATAGCTCTTTATATTTTAATGTTTCTTAATCTGTGCAGAAACTCTGAGATAAGATGGGTCCAAGAGGCTAAATGGTACTCATCCAAAAAATGTCCTCAATTTCAAGATCTCAGTTGCACAGCTGGGTTCTGTTGGTCACATGTCAGCTTCAGAGCACATCTGTTCATTCCTCAAGGATCCACTAGGCCCCATGAACACAATGTCCTCTGTGTAGGGTACTTTACACCACAAAACTCAGCAGCTGCAAGGGTGAGAAAATCTCTACTTCTCAAGTTTGTGTCTCTAGGCAGTTTGAGTAGGGTGTTTTCTATCTGGCTTTCTTTTAGTTGCTTGTCACTTCTGACATACAGATGCTTGCTGGCAACGAAGTTGCTTTCACTGTTCTCAGGGACAGATGTTTCTAGTCTGGGAAGAAATAGACCAAAGTTTTACTGGAAAGTACAAATTCTTGCCACATTTAGGCACCTAACCTGAGAAAACATAAAGAAGATTTTGGCCACTGGCTCATGAATGGAAACGTCGTTACTGCCAGGAAAATAATGCCCCAAATCTAAAGACTTGGTCTCAGAAATTTAGGGAAAATATTTTGTGTCAAATATTCTCATCTCTATGGTTCACAGCAGCCACGCAAGTTTCCTGGTAGGCGAGTGGTAAAAGTAGAGACAAGTATATTTCATTTGGAAGATCTACATCTCTATATCTGAGCTTTCTGAGAATTGTTAATGGAGAGAAAGGGAGGGAGAGAGAAAGAGAGAGACTGAGACTGAGATTCCTGTACCTTTCAAATTCTGGGCATTGGAAATATTTTGAGTTGACAGGCTTGAGTGGAGTACTGTGAGAGAGGCAGAGAAATGACTGAAGATACATGAAAGGGAGCAATATTAAAACTAATTTGATTCATAGAGAGTTATCATTCTACATCAAGAAGGATCTTATGAAACTGGCTTTCATAATCCTCAAAGGTCTTGTTGATACTTTTGGAGGAAGGCATAGTCTTGGGTCAATATGTATTAAGTGAGATGTGAGGGACAAAAACAGCTTATAATATTGTAACTAGGTCCCCCCACAGGAATGTGTCTATATTTATATAGCATAACCTGTTAAATGTGTACCAATGGCTGCAAATTCAGACCACAGAAGCTTCTTTAATAACACTCATACACCAGGTCCAAAACGTTCTACTCTGTCATTCATGTGTAAATCAAGTATATTATTCATATACTTCATCGACTTCCTGAATGCGTGCTAAAAATGCCAAGGAAAAACTCGTTAATCGTGACATGGTGACTGCTCAGCTAGCACTGAAATGTTGATGGAAAAGAAAAATTGTCAAAGAGTCTTTTTAAGAACTTCTGCAGGTTACACTCACAAATCGGAATTCAGAGAACATGAATTCCCTAGTTCAGGAAGGAAGGATTAAAAGCAAACACCCTCCAGTGGTTGCATCTAAAAGTTGCATAGTTTTCTCAAATGGCTGACAATTGAAAAATATTCTTGAGTAGCATCCAGTACCTCTGGATCAAGTCCCCGCTCATTCTGATGATTGTAAAAATCTTAAGAATATGAAAATGATCTTCTTTGGACTATCAAATCTCTCCTGCATTTGATTTAATGTGTAATAGCTTGCTAGAATGTAAGTTCTGAGAGCTGCAATCATGGCTGGCTCACCCATCATAGTTCTGAGGTGTCAAAGACATGAAGTGCCAACAGCATCCAAGACGTAGATGGAACACTGGCCTATATATTCAGTTTGTAACAAATTGCGCACAACAGTGACACATATTTTATGCATGCTGGTTAGTAAGTTAATAGTCAAGATAATTAAAGAGGATATAAAAAGTCTGTTTTATCTTGAGGACCAATCTGGGAGGAATTGGGTAAGGGGAAAATATGATCAAAATATATTATATGAACGTTTCAGAGATTTAACAAAAGCATTTTAAAACAGAAAAAGGCCACCAAAAAGTAATATCCTTACTTATTTCCATTCCTTGTTCTTCTCTTAAACTAACACTGTTGAAAAAAATCAACAGATATTATGAGGCACCAAATCACTTTAAACTGTGTTAGATGACAATATCATTATGAACATAAATGAAATTCAGTATAATACTCATGGAACTTATAATCATATTGGTAAGAGATAAATAAATGGCACACTACCTAAAGTTATAGAACCAAACAAAATATCTTAGGTCTATACATTTATAGTCAAAAAGTACATATATACCATGAACTTGAGGCCTGAAGAGATTACTACTGATTTTCCACAAAATCAATAAGGGATATGGAAAATAACCAATAGGGTCTTCAAATGCATGTTAGAAGGCTAACATGAACAAAAACAGTTCAGGGACATAGAGACACATAATGCATATCATAGGCATAACTTGGCTAGAGCAGAGGCTTTGAGTAGGTAGCAAAAAGAATGGGTGAGAGGAGAAGAATCTGGGCAAGCAGCCAATTAAAAAAGTGTTTAAGGAAGGTTTACAGATTTTATCGTGGAGGAAAGAGTGAAAACAATCGAAGTTTGTGGAACAGTGTTGGGGGGTTGTACACATGGTAATGGATTACACGGAAGAGTGACAGTATACGGAAGGTAGAGATATAATCAATATTGTTGGAATAATACAATTGGTGTCTAAGCTAGGATAATAGAGGTGAGAATGGAAAAGACACAAGGAACATGGTTTGGGAGAAAGACACCGAGGCATAAAAATGACTCAGACATTGGAATAATCCTTGGGCAATCTCTTGCCATGGCATTATATTTCAAGTTATGAGAGCAGGTAAAATTACAAAAAGAAAAGCGTCGAGAGACCATGGGAAGAAGTTTAGAGATATTTTAATTGAGGAAAAGAAATGAACCTGTAAATATTGTTGTCTTTGGACCTTTCAGTGCACATTAAAGGCATGCAATAGTAAATACACTCATACATACATACGCATGGTCCTCAAGAAGAAAGAAAAATGATAAAAACACAGTTGGTTCCCATTTGTTTCCCGTTAGTTTAATGACCATATTATTGAAGAACAGCATGATCTAGCAGGGTGATATCTATGTTCTATGTCCAGTTCTATTTTTGACAGCCCTGTGATCTTGGGCTTCTCTGAGCCTTTGTTTCCTCATCTGGAAGACAAATACTTAATTCTCTCTCTCTCTCTCTCTCTCTCTCTCTCTCTCTCTCTCTCTCTCTCTCTCTCTCGCTCACTTACTTGCTCTCTCAAGCAGGCATGCACACACACACACACAGAACTGTAAGTCTGAAATGTGATAAAGTATAATGAATGTCAAATTACCTTAAATGCCATCAAGTCTGACAAAAAAAATTTTTGTAATTGTCTCATTGTAAACATTAGCATATTTAAGACTTAAAAGACAATATGCAAATGTATTGTAGTCCCTTGTTTTTTCCTCAGTATTTTCAAAAACCTTTTGAGGGCAGGGACAGTCTCTTAGGCCTATGCTCTCCTTATATTTTACCACATACAAGTTCTGAACAAAGCACATACTTTTTAGCAAGAACAAAGCATGCATTTTGAGTTGCAACTGGATTTACTCTGAATGATCAAATGCAGCTTTCACTAGGTAGCATTACTGAAAAGTAGCATTGAAACCTACAGTGTCTGGCACATCTTAAACTTTATTTAAGTACAAAATACATACAGAAAATACTGCTCCCAATGGCGTCATACACCTTTTACAGTGGATTTTTCCATAAATCTGTGAATGAGTGACAAGGCATAGTGAATAACAAGGATGAAAGGAAAATATTCAAAGTTATTAGTGACATTTATTGTATTTATAAGTCGAGGCAAAGACAGCAGTCCAGCTTGGGACCTGCAGTCCACCGAAGTAGCTTGTACTGAATTTTACGGCTTGTTTTTAAATGAAGTGTCATTATTACCCCTGAAACTTAAGCGTTGTAATCAAAACCACACTTACAGTATAAGTTTTAAAAACATACTTAAATTATAAATGAGAATACCTTCCAAAAACCTCAGATGCTCTAAAGTCACAAGGAGAAATCTGAATTTGAAAAACCATCTAGTGAGAGAAACGGTTTTCTAAAAAGTTGGCTCTGAGGCTTGCCGCTTCCATATCAAATGCAGTTACTTACTTCCACTGGGAATCAGATCCCTTTCTGGGATAAAGAGTTTGTATCCGTAGTGCTTTTCTAGGACATCTGGCAGTATTTCCAGAGCAAACTGCTCTTCCTCCGTATTGTCACAGTCCAGAGTATCTTGATCCACTTTTGTGTATGAGAGATAGGCATCATATTCCTTATTGTCTTAAAGAATAACAGTAACAACAACAGAAGTAAATATTAAAAGGTTCCCTTTGAACATTAGATGTCTTTAACAGCTAACAAGCCAGAATAAGCATTGTAATCAGTGACAATCTTTAACAACTGGAAAATAATTCTCATGTTATAGGTAATATAGTCTATTTTCACATGAATATTTCGTATGAAATGACCTAAAACTGTCATGAAGTGGGCACCTTACAGTCATGACAGAATAGAGCAAAGATTTCTTATTCCCGCCTTTTGGTGAGACTCCACATTTGTGCATCCTGGAAATGATGATCTCGGTGTGTTTGAATGTAGGACGAAATAAGCTGAAGTCATGGATTTGAACCCTTCATGTGCCAGTTGGTTTGGCTCTGCCACTTAGTCACAGACTATACCTTGTTTGCACAAATATGTGCACGCGATCCAAAAGGGGCTGGGCCCTAAACTGTGAAAGATTGAAGTAATCCTGCTTCACTCCTGGAGACTGTACTCAGCATATGCCATACTTCCAGTTGGTTAGTGTCATCAGCATCATATACAAAAAGCAGTTCATTACCAAATAGCAGAAACAGCAGCTGGGTTTTATACAAATACATTGCCTGTTATTCTTGTTCAGCCAAGTAATTTGACACAACTTCCAAAGGAGGCCTTTGTTTCAAATATACCTCCTTCCAATATTGCCAAATTAGGTTTTCTCTTCACACGTTTAGTCATGGAGTTAACTGTACTTTGCAAGCATATTTTTACCCTTCTTTGCTGTATTGGCTCAGAGCCAATCTGTCTAAAGTACAAATGTTTATGGATGCATGTGGGTTTTTTGCACAAAATGTTAATGAACACAGCTATCTATTGTGATAGTCCTCCATATGTTGTAGCTGCAGCATATCAGAAAACCTGTTGTATGCTCAAATTCCCTTATTTAAAGAAAATTATTTTTAAAGTTGATTTAGTGAACGTAAGTCCATGAGTAACTAACAATGCCTATTAATACCAGTTTCCTGAAGACATTCATTTTGAAAGACTGATAAGCATTTATTTCTAAACAAATCTGATTAGAATATAGATTAAAATTTTGTCATATGGAATTTTATAAAATAAACGAGGCATTTATTTACCTACTCTATTAATATTTTAGTCCTAGTGACAGGATGGGGTGGAAACTACAGGTGTAAAGCAAGAAACATATGTCCTAATTGTTGGACTAGGTGAGACTCCCTGAGACTTCTAATAGGGAATTTATGTTCAAATTCTTGTACGATTCTACCCCTTACTACCTATTCAAGAAAAGAACTCTGGTATTGATGTTAATCTGGTACCTGAGTTCCAGAGAAAAGCTTAAAATATGTTAGCATGCCCCATAACTATAGGCTTCTAAACCTTGCTTAGGTTTCTTGATTGCCTAGGAGCAGATGAACACAAAATAATGTCCTGGATAGTTGAGAAGATCTTTTGGCTTACGAATTGGACACATTCCACTGTTATACATAAAACTCTACTTGGAATTGGAAATGTTCTTCAGCAATGCTAATGTAAGAACCTCCTGGAAATACTAGCACCTCTGCCCTTGCTCCAATCAAGCACAGGATGCACCTGCAGGCCCCTGACTTTCTCCAGCTATAATTACTCACCTGGGACTCAAAGCTGCCGATGATGCACAGCTGGAAGAATAAAACAGTCCAAAGGACAAAAAGCTCTATTCCTATGAGCAGAATCTATTTTATTGTTCTTGGTAGATAGTATTGCTGCTTCAAACTCCATGTCAGGCTAGACCTTTGTTTCCCATCTCACAACCCTAACTAAATTGAACCACGATTTGTTGAGCATCTACTGTGTACTTAACAATGTTCAGTTGCTAGGTGACTCTACTGTCTAGCATGTGAGAAGTTCAAGAATCTTAGCCTATTGCTTATTCAGACTTTGGTGACTTACTCTTTGACTATGCTAAAATTCACTTGTACCTGGTACTTTCTTAACTTCCTTTACTATGTCCTAACGTTATAGCTCAATATATACACATTCTTCTAGTAAACCATTTCTGTATTGTTATATACTAGTTCAGTCGTGAAATAGAATATCTATGTCTTTGCCATGTTAATATTTGAATATGTACCTGTATAATCAGTTTTACCTAGCATTCTGGAAGCATAATTCTTTCTGGAAAAAAAAGGTGCTTTGGTTTCAGTTATATCCCTACAAGGTGACTAAAAGGTGAAGGACTTATTGTAACTGGCTGGAGCAGGAAAGAGCTCTCAAAGACACCATGTCAGATGTCTCAGAGACTTCAGGATACCAGCTAGTGAGCCAGCAATGACTCAGATGCCACAGCTTTAAAAGGCACTTCAGTCTTATGTAGAGAGCCAAGAAATTTTCATGAATAGCACAGCTGTTGCTCACATAGAAGCACAAGATGAATAGAGTAAAGGCATCAACATGATGCAAATAAAGTTAACAGCCAGGCTGGACAATTGTTTGAAAACCAAGAGGCAGTTCAGTGACACCGCTTTTCTAGACAACACTAATGAGTGCTCTGTGCTAAATTCCACAGACTAAACTTATTTGAGGAACCAGAAACTAGGGAACAATGCAGACAAGGCGGCTGGCACAGCGGCCACCAGAACTATGCTGCTCCTAATGAAGAGAGAAGTTACGAAGACAACCGAACTATTTGTGGAAGAATTTTCTTGTTGTCACACCTGTCCTTCCATATTTTAAAATCTAATTTTAATTTTGTTCATCATCGGGGAGTCATTCCCATTTCTGCAGCCCAGTTCTCCTGCAGCTATACTGAACACAGTCCTAAGCCCTTAACTTCTAAAGGGAACAGAACTCTATAAACGTTTTGACTACTGTATACCCAGTAACTAATTTAGGACTTATTTGTATGTATGTGTATAGTGTTGATCTGAAAGGAAAGTCTTAAATATTTATTGAAAAACTGGTAGTTCAAATAAATAAAGCAATCTGTAGTGGGTGGAAATGAGGTGAATTAAAAATGGAAAGAACATCAAAGCTTGTTGGATGAATTCTATTTTATTAAACAAAATATTTCCATAAAAACTTTCACAAAATCCATACGTCTATGTACATATGTGTATGTACTTGTGTATACGATGGTCGCATGGGAGGGGAGGCATCGCTGAGAATCTAGACTGAAGTTTCAGGCCAGTGAGAGACCATGTCTCCCAGAAAAGGTAGAAGGGACCTGAGGATCAACAGAAGACAGTATTCTATGATCTTCGCATGTGGTCTATCATGCACTCACACAAACACATGTTTTCCCCTACATACATATATACAAATGCATATACAAAATTAAAAAATCAATGTATGTATAATGTCACTGTCCTGCTTAGGCATTTCTCAGCTTACAAAATCTAGAGTCATTTGAGAAGCGAGAACTTCAAATGCAACTATATCTCCACTAGATTGGCCTGTGGGTATTCTCTTGATTAATGGCTGATGTGGGAGGGCCTGGGCCACTATGTTCAGTACCATTACTGGGAGCTGGCCATATAAAAAAAAAAAACAGGCTAAGCAAGCCATGAAGAACAAGCAAGTAAGCAGCATTCCTCCATGGTCTTTGCATCAGTTCCTGTCTCCAGGCTCCTGTCTTGAGTTCCTGTCCTGACTTCCCTCTGTGAGAGAAATCTGATACTTAAGAGATAAAACAAACTCTTTGTTCCTCAAGTTGCTTTTTGTCATGGTGCTTTATCATAGCAATAGAAAGCCTAACTAAAATAGCCACTATATATGTCTAAGTAGAGTGTGTGCATATGTAGACATAGCCAATGAGAAAATACAAAGAAAAATTATACCAAAAAACTAAGGTGTATTGATGAGCTGTTAGAATAAGTAAAATGATAAAGAATTTGGTAGCATTTTTAGCTTGCATTGGAGTCATATAATGTGTGTTTGTAGAAGGATGTTAAAATTCATTTACTCAGCACTTAGATTCAGTGATTGAGAATGCTAGATTTACAAGCATGAGAACATGAATTGGAATCTGTAACACCCATGTAAAAAAATCAAGCATGTCTTTGGGAGCATATGTATTTAGTATTGGTTGGGGTGGCAAAGACAGAAGGACACCAGGAACTCAGATGGTAGCCAAGCTAGCTGAAATGGGGAGTTTCTAATTCAGTGAGAGACAGCATCTTAAAGAAGCCAGAGAGAGACCGAAGATGTACTCTCCGGACCTCTGCATGGCACACCTGAAGTCACACACATTCATATGCATGCACTGTATATACAACAGCAAATACTCAAAATAAAATAAATAAAATTAAACAAATAGAATTCATTTATTCATCCTCAGCACACACTCGTTAAATTTTTAGGATTTATTTAGGCTAGTACAGAGATTATGTCCTCAATCACCGAATTTCCATGCAGAATATAAAATATTTACATTTTTCTTTGAAATGGAGACCTTTGAAGTGACCTTCACCCATTCCACACCCCACAGATTTTCTACAAGAGCATACAATTGTCTAATAATATTCTGATTATTACCAGACACTTTTGATCAAATGGACCATCTGAAAACTAAAGATGCAAATAGATCCTTGTCAATGCAATGATATTGCTATAAACTTAGTCTCATGTGTATATTCAACAACCAGTCAGTTACTACTGGTTACTGAGTACAGATGATGACAGAATATGAACTTGTGACATTCTTCCTGATTCAAATCCCAACTTGTTGGTATTGAATCATGCTCAGGAATGTTGATTGTTTTTCTTTAATAATAGATTTCTATAATATACTTGTACTTTATGATACGAAAATGTCTTATTGACATAGTGTAAAAATTTTAGTTTTCTTGGTAAATAAATGATTGCTTGTGTTGCTCGTAAAAAAAAAGAAAATAATTCGTATAGCAAAACCTAATAAATTGTATTGCCTTTTACTGAAATTAGTAAATTGCTCATAATTGTTATTTAAAGCACATTAACCACAAGAGCCTCTTTTTATGTTCTTTCATATAGAACACACAAACCATCCCACTATATACTTCAGTTACTTCGTATGTATAAATTAGAAGTCTAATTTCCAATATTAGCTCTTGTACATAGGAACAGAATATAATTAATTATGTTATCATGTATATAACCATGATCAGAAAAAGTCCTTATTTCTCCAAGTGAAGATATTCCTTAATATCAGCGAGTACTACTTTAAATACTTAGCTATAATTCCTAAGTGAATACACAACGCGAAAATGAATTTATAAAGAAGTATTGGCCTAACTTGCTGTGAAAACAGTAGTCAACTAAGATATATTTATATCAGTATTTGTGTAATAGCAACAATAATGTCAAAATCAGATTTCTCAAAAGTTTTGACATCACATCTATCATTATAAAAATAAAGAAAATTAATTAAATCTTCAAGGTAAATACTTTCTTAGAAATGTAAATAAAAGTTTACTCTTAAATATTTCAGTAAACTAAACACCTTTAAAACTGACTTTAAAGGTAACTGTTTGAAATTGATTAATATTTCCAAGGTTTATAGTAGTTGGGGAGTGAGTGCATTATATTTAGTAATATGATATGACTTCTTATGGATGCTGATAGAAAAAAAATAGCAGTTTGACTTGGGGGAGGGATAGAATATAATCAAAACAAATTTAAATTTAAAAATTGTTTTAAATAATAAAAAAGTAAAATGTGAAATCAGAAAAATACCAATTTGTTCTCTTGAAAAAAAACTAAAACATTTCTGAATGTTCAAAGTGTAAAACAGCAAAAACACACTTATTTTTTGATACTTAAACTTATGATTTCTAAAAGTTATATAAAGCAAACACAGTAAAATTTTATGACACTGTTTCGATACTTTTTCCATTGCTGTGACATACTACCCAATAAAAGTAGCATAAGGAGATTTATTTTGCCTTAGTTTCATGATGATGAAGATGTGGTGCCATTCATGGCAGTGGAGCAGGCGCACTTCCTGCGGTATCAGGAAGCAAAGATCCCAGATAGAAATTGATGCCTAGTTAAGTTCTTCTACTAGCAATGGGATTCCTCCAGTTAGACCTCACCTCCTTTGCTCTTAAAACCTTCTAAAACATTGCTACAAGCTGAGTACTAAGTATTCACACATATGAGACCATGAAGTTGCCACATATTCAAACCGTAACAGACACATTCTAAATTTGTATCTTTGGAATCATTTTTGAGAATGGTACTAAAAGTATTCAAAATATGTAGGTTCATGCATTTTGTTGGTAAAAATGACCTGTATCTAAGTTTCAATTTTCTGGACAAAAATAGCACATAATTTTTTTTCTTGTGTTTTACTAAGGGAAAGGCTTTCATAGCAGTTGTTTGTCTTTAGGTCAAGAAATATCTTGCTCAGTTTTTTATTGAGAAGTGATGTCAAACACAGGACGATTACATGAATAAAATTCTATTAAAATAATGCATCCCATTTTTATCTAGTTTTTTTTTCATAAAAATGTTTTTCCTTAATTTTGTGAGAGCAAGATGCACATGTCATAATCCTTTGCCCCTAAATATTCTAATTTCTGTTTCCAAGAATAGAAATAGTCTCTTACAGGATCATCCATAAATTATGCCTATTAATTGAGGTTAGGAAACAGGAGATGCCTTACCATCAGTAGTTTCATCACCTCCAAAACGCTGTCGGTAGAAAAGCATCAATTCTATGTTGTAGCATTTGTAGACCACCACCAGCAGTATAAGTAGGAGGAAGATTGCTCCCAGCCCCCCTGCAAGCTCAATTTTGTATATTAAATCTGAAGTAAACAGAAACAACAGAAAAAGGCAATTAAATCAGCAACACTTGGAATTTCACCAAATTTCTCTGTGTGAGCGATATACTAATCATTCTGGTTTTCTTTTCAGAATATATCGTTCATAATAAATTTCTCTTGATATATTAGTTAATAAAATTAACTATATCCTGAAGCTTTTAGCAATTTACTCTTACAGGTAGTAACTGTATAAGAAAAGAAATACTTAAATCCCAATAAAATTTGAAGACAGCATTTTCACACATATTTCATTAATTGTATATCAGGGAACTATTAAAGCTCCTTTATTTAGGATTCATGGATAATGTTCTATTATGTCTGTTAAAATATCTTGTTGGTTTAGCAAGACTATCTCCTGTACTTCTTAGGCCACCGGCTCTGTTCTTCTACAGTAGAATAATATCATAAAATTACTTTCAGAATCAAATAAAATCTAATGAGCTTGCAAGATTTAACTGTTCCACTTAACCTCAATAGAAAATAATCTAATACATGTTAAGCAGGGGGAATTAACTTACCCATTCCCCATACTTATTTGAATAAATTACTATAATATATTTGTGATATAATATACCCAGAGGAACAAAATGTGAATGAGAAATCTAGGTTAATCAGTTAGTCTCTTTGGCCAACACCAATATATGTTATATTTAAACTTTTCCATTGAGGCATTCCTGGGTCCCTGAGAGTTGGGATAATTAAATCAGCACATAATGGAATGAGACAATAATGTCTCCCAGGCTCAGAGAACAGTGGATTATCTGTAGCTTAATTAATGATATTAACAAATCTAGAATAATCATCAGAAAAAATAGACAGTATTATTGAATTTAGCAAAAGTTTGAGTCAAATGATATTTTAGATTTTGAGTTCAGCATTTTCCAGAGGAGATATGCTAAATCTGAGAGAGACCAGATTAGGTGGTCTCCATTTAATCTAATTCTGTAATCATCAAGCAAATACTCTAATACTAATTTAGCTTACCATGTAACTTGAACCTGGCAAGGGAAATGATATTTTATATGCACATTAGTTGATTCTGACTGTAGTTGGCATCAGCCAGTTTCCCTGGGTAGGTTGATTCAAATTTCTGATATGACTGTGACTCTTGAGAAACACAGACAGCTTTTCTTTGGTAATGTTCTTTTTCTTTACATAAGATCATAGATTAAGAAAAATAAGTCATGGGCAATGTAACAAAATTGATTTAGCATATTATAATTTATTAAATGGATGATTATATTCTGGATTATATACTTTACCCAGGCTATCATTTGCTTTGTAAATAATCTTGTGGCACAAGAACTTTAATCAACTCTACAGATACAGAATTTGAGACTGTAATTTAAGTCACTCAAGTAGGATAAGAACCCTGGTCTCCTAAATTCAAATTCAAGGCTTATTTTTTTCCAGCATAGCATTATCTACTCTACCCATGAAATGAGAATGGGAGATAATGGGAAATTTTTCCATGGAAATTTTGGTGATATTTCCTCATACCATGTGACTTGTGGAGCACTTGGTTTCCATCATTTCAAGTCCAAAGAAAGAGAAGATCTATTGTGATTACCAATGAGAACGAAATCACCTGAAAAGAGTTCACACATTTCTTTGAAGAGGACGCTACAAAACGCTACAGTGTTGGAAGGAGGGAGCCCCTAGGGGTTCCACGTGTGAAGGGAAGGATTAAGTTTTGTGGTGAATGAAGAAATTAAATTTTACCAAGGAAGTAGACTGAGAGCTGGACACAATATAGCTGATTAGGAAAATCACAGAGAGGAAAAGGAAATAAATGCGATGATTTTTTTTTTTTTTTTTTTTTACTAAAGCAGAAGGAGAAATGAGTGAAAGGGGAAGAGAATGGAGCTGTTGTGAAGGACAAACTATTCATAATGGACATTAAGAAGGGACTTAGTCAATAGGCGTGGTGAGTGAGTATCTTTGCCCTACCTCCTCAAAGAGGAATTCAATTTGGAATCAAGCTCCCTCATTTTAGGCAAAAATAAAAATCCTTTTACACATTAAGCATGCCTCTTGTCTTAGAACCTGGTGTCTTAGGAGCCACTGACTACCTCTATCTGGGGCATCAAGCCAGCTTGCAAACTTATATTGGGAAGCAAATCACAAGCTTCCCTTACTTCCCCACCACTTTCTGTCCACCATACATTGCAAATGACCAGTGCTATGTTGGAAACAATAAACGCTCTTTTTTGTTACTCTAAAAATCAACTTCTCTTTCAACTTATGGCCTTGATTGACGTAATTCAAATGCTTTGTTCCTGTTTTCACCACAACAAATGTTCAATTTATTCTGTAAATGTCTTCATGTTTGGCTTTTCTTTTGTTCATTATCTTCTTCCCTCTTGCCCACCCCCACCCCCTCTGACATCTCTCTTGCTCTTGTCCTCTTCCTCTCTGACCAGAACAGCTCTCAACTGTTTTCAAAGTCACTGAGCGGAAATTTTCCCAACAACTTCTATGTTATTTACAGAGTACAGTTGCTATTAGGTAGATGGAAACCTCAGCAGCTGGACCAATTTGTGCCCCCAAGTAGCAGGCACCCATGTCAGCAGTAAATGTATGGAAGAGAATCATGGTGGGAAAAGTATCTGCGGTTTGGGGGTCCATTTCATAAAAATGCCTTTGAAACATATTACATAATGGTGGCTGTTTAAGTTGAAAACTGGGGACCTTGACTCTGAGACCCAACAAGTATTCTTGGATTCCGTCAACGCAGTCTTATCAAAAGAGAAACATCCATCCTATAATCAGAGGGTAAAACTGCCATCAGCCAAATGACATCTGGCTTTTCTTTTGTCTTCTGTTTACATTTGCCATTTTCTATCCCAGCAGGATCTATACTTCAAGACATTTCCTGACTGAGAAGCTGAAAGTCATTTATTTTGGTCTGTGTCTTGTAAATACTTCCTAAGGGTAACTGGAGCCAAGGAGGAATCTATTGAGTGGTTATAACTTCTTGTAGGCACTCAAAGTACACACACAGTTCTTTTGTATCTTCTTCCTTTTGAGCTCATCTGTTTCTTCAATGTGAACACAAAGGTCAAATATTACTCTATGGGAAAAAATAGCAAGTGAAGCCAAGAGACAAAAGATGGTGTGTGTGTGTGTGTGTGTGTGTGTGTGTGTGTGTGTGTGTGTGTGTGTGTGTATGTTTATGGATGTTTGAGCTTGTTTTTCTAACTTACAAAGTAGTAAATGAGTTTGGAGGTTTGACCTGAGGACTTCTGCAGTGACCTGAATGCCGGTATCCTCTCAAAATTCATGTTTGTTGATATCAGGATGTTGCTTAGAGGCTGTGCATTTTTTAGAGTCCAGAGTTTGATGCCCAGCATTAAAGAAAATGTGTTTTGATCTGGATCCAAAGTAATGGCACTAGGATTTGTGGCCTTCATGAAGTAAGTAGCTCAAGAACTCTCCATTCCGATGGATGAAAACAGTACCCCTTTAGAGGCCTAAGAGAATCTTCTTACTTCTTTACTCTGTGAGACCACATAGAATTCATCAACTATGAGGAATCCATCCTTACTAAGTAGGCAATATGCTAGCACATAGATTTCTAGAACTATACGTGTCAATTCTGTGGAGAGTTTTATCAACTGTTCAGTAAAAGCTATTTTTGTTATAGCAGCCAAATTGCAAATTGATGCATAAATTACTGCTGACAAGTAGGGTTCTGCTATAACAAATATCTATAAATGTAGAAGTAGTTTCTAAAATGGGTAATGAATAGGTAGAGGTTCAAGGAGATTTGATGTACATTGTGAATGCAAAGAGCCTTATGGGAGAGTCTGGGGGAAGGTTCAGAAAAAAAAGATGAGCACACCAGGGAAAGGCTCAATTAAAATAGTGAATAATCCCGGTTCTGAGCAGGACATTGGTAGAGATATGACTGGTAAAGGCCACTTGATTGAAATGGGGACGAGGTCCTTATTAGATAAAAATCCATGAAGACCTACATCTTGGATTTTCTAGCCTCCAGAAGGAAGTGCAAGGGAGAGGGTGAAGGGAAGGTTGAAGAAGGGGAAGGCAGGGGTAGAGAGGGAGAGGGGGACGAAGAGGGAACGTGACACTGAGATTTGGTGTCATGCCTGTATTTTGTGGGTAAAGAAGCATGTGTAGAGAGGTAGAACTAATTACCAGAATTTTTTTTTAGATTAAGTTCATAATCTTGGTTCACCAAAAGGGAAAAATCATATGGATCTCTTACCACCCTATGATCAGTTACACTTTCCAGCTAATAGCTCCTCAGAGAAAACAAAAGGATAGGTGAATGTAGGAGCTTACTGTGAAAGGGGATATATAATATTTTGTAATCCCTGTCTATGATTATTGGCTATGTCAGAAGTGAATTTTCTCTTTATAAAAGCCATTTTGAGTTCAAGAAATAATTTGTCACAAGTTTTTTCTCCATGACGATCACTTAGGAGATTTGAAAAGGACTTGCAGCTCATTAAGAAGTCACTGTTCCATAAAACAAGCTCTGCCTGGATTCTAGGTGGAATCACCACAGCCTATGAGATCAGGCTCCATTGTGAGAAAGGCTAATAGGTCTAAATATCACTTTCTAATGTATCTTAACACAAGATAAGCTTGGGATGGTTTTTAAAAATTACAACAGGTTCCCAAGGACTTGTGATTTTTTTTATATTTAAGAGTCTAAAGACCAAATGAAGAAAAATCAACCATGTCCTTTAGCAAAGCACAGTGAAAACTTTAACTTCTACCTAGAAGAGTCATTTTATTGAAATGATATATGATTTTAGAAAAATGAATACTGTTATTTATTAATTAATTTATATATTTTTTTTTAAAAAAAACATCTTTATCCTCTCAGCTTCACTTGAAAACCTTGAAGCTTTCATAGCATGGGTCAAAATCTTCTAGAACAGAATGCTGGGTTGACCATTAGGTAAAGTGTGTTTTATATAGTTCACATTTTCATTTTTTTTAATAGTAAACTTTCTTCTATTTTTCATATATGCCTGGCCTTTAAGACTTTTGACTTTTCACCTCCAAACCTGAGTTAAAACTTTCAAAAAACAACAACAGCGAAAATAGCCTGAAGTAACTGAAGCCACACAGTCAAAACATGCTCAAAGATAAAATCTTGTTTTGCGACTCTGTTACCTTTCCTCCCTCAGCACTGGGCTAGTCACGTATGAGGAGAGTTTCCTTCCAACAAATACTTTTGAGCATTTATTATGTGTGCTATGTATGCAGTGGTCACTAACACAAAAAAATCTCTACACTTATAAAATGTACATCCTTGGGACAGGGAGAATACAAGGAACAAGTGTGCAATGTATTATCCAATATTTATTCACACACTAGAAAGAGACAGAAACTTAGAGGACACAAAAAAGGTAGCGAATTATATTGTCTATGAGGTGGCCATGGAATGCCTACTAAGTAGGTCATAAAAGAAGAGGCAATCATGGGAACAGCTGGGGGAAATGTTCCAGGCAGAAGAAATAAACAAGAGAGAAGAGTCTAAGAAAGGAATATCCTTGATGAGCAGAGGAAAAATAAAAGGAGGCTAGTGAGCATTCCATTTGAGCTAAACTGTGGCAGAACGTGAGATCAGCAATAAGAACAGATTGTGCAATAGTAAAGGTTTGGGGTTTTGTTCAGTTCACGTGAGCTTGGAGCTCCAATTCAGGTGGTGACAGTGAAGCTGTGGAAGTGGTCAAAGCTACGACAGCCTTTGAAAGTTAAACTATGGGGCCTATTGGTGGCCTAGATTCAGGGCATGAGTAGAGAAAACTGAAAGTCTAGGGCAGCTTTAACTATTTTGGCCCAAAAATCTATTGTGATGATGATAGAGATGAAGAAGAACAAAGGATCGTGTGTATAGGCGGAAGAAATTAGGGATCCTGTTTGGAACAAGAGAAACATGCTGTGACTTTGGAATATGTAAGTCCTTATGTATTATGAAATAGGCAAATGGATATGTAAGGCTGGACTTTGTGTGTGAGGTAAGAATGAGTAAATGGAAATCAATAAGATGGAGATTGAATGAGATCATTCAGAGATCGAATGAGAAGAAGCTGGAAAACCAGGGATTTCAACATTTATTTAAGTATAGGGAAAATGAGAATTTTGTCAGCTATTAATAATTTTCATCAAAGTTCTTTGCAGATGATATCAAGGGGAGTAGAATTTTACAGTGTGTCCTCATGTCCAGTCTCAGATTTCTAGAGTTTTAAGGACTGCCAGTTGTTGCTATAGTTTTAAATAGAATAGATTTATTTTAAAACTTAGATTATATCTGTTCCCACTGGTTTAATTATAAGATCTTCCTTCATGGTTTTTTCCCAAAGAAATTTTCAAATTGGAATATATATGTATATATATATATACACATATAAATATATGTATATATATATATATCTTTTGTTAAATGTTTATATTTCTTTGCATTATTACTACTTCAGAGGTTTGAGGATGTCTATTTTATTTGTCTTTCTCAATACCTAGCATATATTTGCTATATATGAGTTCTCAATATTAAAAGAGACTTTTAGTCGTTTATTTAACCAGAATGCAATCCAAGAGTGCCTATTAGTGGCAAAACACTTTCTAAGTTTCTTGGAGATGCAGAGGTATAGCAGCTGACCCTGGTCTGGAGAATCTCTGAAGCAAGAATAAGACCCAAAAGTACAAGGACAATGTGACTTTTGCCACAAGGTACATAGGCTTAGGCAAAGCTTATACTAATGTAGAAAGGTATATAGATGAAAACCCACTAAATTTCAGTATAATAAAATATATTTCTTGATGGGATGCATTTTATATCTACTACATGTTTATTTAAACCACTAACTTTACAAGATAGATATCATTACTCCTATTTTACATATGAAGAGACTACGGTTCTGAAATTCTAGTCAGGTAAGTCACTTCAATTTCACCAGGTGGCTGAACCAGATCACCTGAACCTGGCTGCACTGGCTTCCCTTTCCATATTAGACCCCTTATACATAAATATGCCTTTAGTTTAAGAGAGCATCAAGTCTATTCATGTGAGCCGTGGTACTGCTGAGATAGAAGCACCATTCTTGGAATAAACATGCTTCCTTCCTTCTTCTGGAGAGTCTCGTTGGGCTCAAGCTTCAGGTCTGGCAAGCAAATGGAAATTCCATCTTGGCTAGTAGACGCAACTAGTGATTTTGCTGATTGAATCTCTTCTATTGTTCTATAGCCTAGGCAACAAGTGGCCTGATAAAGAACATGTGTTCAGCTACATTTATAAAACCTTTCCCAGGTGGACACGCAAACGCTTTAGTAATTTTCTGTAGTAATTGAGACTTCTGGTGAAGCCCTTTAAGATGCTTTTTTGGCACTGTCTAGTTTTAGCCCTTTTATGCCTGCATTTAGTTTCTTTTCTTTGCCCATCACAAACCCATTCTAAAGCAAGCTATTTTAAAAAGGACTTGTCCAGAGATGCCAAAACACTTGGAAATATATCCATCCACTGAAGGCCTTTTAGTAACATATCATGTCACAAAATATAACTTGTGGTGTTTATGATAACTTTTCTTATATGATATTATTAATTACTTCTGTTAAATTTTATTCTGGATTTTATAAATAACTTTGTTTTTAATCTGGTAATATAATGTCTAATATTTCAACTAAGCATTATGACATAAGAAGGTGAAATACAGAGAAAATATTGAGTGCCAATAAATACTACAATTTTATGTATCACTTAGAATTACAAACATGGCACATTTTATGTCAATTGACTTAATGTTTAACCATATTTTATTTCAATTAGTCATTTCCTCATTCTATTGAATGTCATAGGCTTCTTATTTTTGCTAATATGCTCAACAAGAGAAATATTACCCCTTAAAAAGACAATGATAGCTAAAGGAAGTTTTTATTAAATGGCAGTCTGTATCCAAAAAGAGTATTTAGTAGCTGTGGCTAGTTTGCAAAGATGTAGCTGTTCTTATGGAAAACAGTACCCTTTTTACGCAGTAGAACACTGGCATGTTTCCGTCCATTTCTGTTTTCCACATGGCAGGTATAATTAGCCAAGTCAGCTTCCACCACTGAGTCAAAGATGAGTGTCAATTCAACTTCTTTTTCTCCAAGATGCTCTTTGAGGAGCCTGAAAGAGAGACAGTAGACTTGGCTGCATTAGTCTGAATGAGGCAAAAAGCAGTCATACAAATTCTCCAAGATGGTAAAATAGTACCCCTGCCTGAAGACTCGGTAGGGTCCAGAGTGCTCTGGTTGGATGTATGGGAGTGTATCACTTTCAGGAAGAGAATACAAAATGTGAGGAACAAATAAGAAAGAAAAAAAAGTGGAGAATTTATTCATCAAAAAAGAAGCAACAATATGCCACTGGGTTTTGATGATTAGAGTATACGCAATTTGTGTAAAGAAGGAGGAACCATTGGTTTTAATGTTCTACATTGAGTTTATGAATACTGGTTTGGTTTTTACACTATGACACAAAGGAAACACCCTGTACAAGCATGAGTTTTATATCAGAAGTTAGACTTTACAAAGTTGTAAGTAAAGGAACATGAAAAATGGTGGGCAGTGTGGCACACACCTTCAATCCCAGCTCTTGGAAGGCAGAGGCAGGGGCATGTCTGTGAGTGGGAGACCTGCTTGGTCTGCAAAGTGAGTTCAAAACAACCAGAGTGATCCTGTCTTGAAAAATACTAAACCGAACGAAAACTACAAGAAGCTAACTCGTGAGTGTACGGAAAACAAACTGAAAGTGGTTAGTGACTTTTAATCTCCAAATATTAGTGAGAATCCAGTTTTCTTTTCCCTTTCTTGATATCTAATGCACTACTCGGTCCTGTTTCAAACCTGGCTGCTCTGCTACTCCCATGGCCCTGATATCTCTAAACCTTCCTCTTTTCTTGTTCTTCTGCTTTTCGTATTCATGGAAGAACCCCTGTTCTCAGAGAAACATGTTTCTGATTTCTCATGCTTTTGACCAAAAAGAGCAAATGAAACTATCAGAAAAAGACTGTTAAGTTCTGGGGTAGCTGTCTAAATGTACACATGTACTAACTAGTAAACATAAAATACTTTATGTTGATAATTAGAGGTGACAGAAGTAAATATTATTTATTTTTCGTGACTGCGTTTCTCTATAGCTTTGGAGCCTGTCCTGGAACCAGCTCTTGTAGACCAGGCTGGCCTCGAACTCACAGTGATACGCCTGCTTTCTGCCTCCTGAGTGCTGGGATTAAAGGTGTGTGCCCCCACCACCCATCCTGACAGAGTAATGTTTGACTTCCTTATGGATGTATAATCACGAGTACAGAGAAGGCTTCTCTGTTTGATTGGGATTGAGTACAACTTCAAGCTGGGACCTTATAAAGTCATTTACACAATTGGTGCTACAATTTAATCCATCTTTTAACTGGAAAGAATAAATATTACACTGAGTTTGAAGTTGGGATAGTAAAATGAGTTAAAATAAGTGATTTGAAAAATAAAACAATCACTGTCACATTTAAAGGAATGTTGTTTAATCTAACTATTTCATTGTCTGAAGATAGAGTGTTCAAATTTTGGCTCTTCTCAAAACAGTTGAATTTATTTTTTATTAGCATTTAATATTATTTTGGTTTACTCTTTCTAGTTCTTCTTTGAGAGATGGAAAATCTTTAAGTTGACAGAAGAGAGCTGTTAGAATCTGGGAATCCCCTGTGCTGATATCTGAATCCTAAAGGAGGTTCTACACAGCTTTTAAAAATTAACTCTTTTTCTATTCCCCTCCACTATCCAAGGTTTGACAATGTAGCACATATAGGTCAAATGAGTCTTCTATGACCTTTTAAATTTATGTATTTTTGAGATCACATGTTCCTAATTGTCTTTATATTAATTGCTTTACTCACTGCCTGATGCTAGAGTTCCCCCATCTAAGCTTTCTCTGGGCATACAGTCGGTCATTTCTGATGTTTCTGTTTTACACTGATTTTTGTTCTCTTTATTTTGTCCCTTTCCTTGGTAAATCCCACTGTATTCAATTGTGTTAGCATCATGGAAACTGCTGTGGAAGAAGCTCTTTTAGTTCCAGAAGTCTCGGAGGCACCACAGATTTCATTTGATTTAAAGTATCACATGGAGGGCAGTCACAGCCTCTGCCAGGCACGGGGCAGAAAGCTGATCCTACTCCTTGCCACGAAGCCTTTCCCTCCCCATCTCTAATGCAGTTTCCAAAAACAGATCTCCACAGGCTGCAGAAAGAATTTGAAGAGAGGATTGAAAAATGATCCTCTTCATTCTATTAATATATATGAGGTGTCTTAATTATCAGCTCTTAAAAATCTCGAGGTGATTTGCTCTTTTGGAATTAAACAGGATGTTGGTGTTTATGTCTATAATTCAGTTTGCTGAGCAGCCAAACTTTCCTACCAAATATTGATATATAAAAAAAAATCCATCAATGATGCTTTTTTCAACCCCAAATATGTACCTAGCTCTGGGCTAGAGACTTAGTATAAGGGAAATATAAACATTCTAAGGCTCAAACCTGATACACTAAGTACAAAAATTTAAATGAGAAGGCAAAATTTGCCCAACTGAAAAATGACAGAATGGATGAGGTGAAGAAGTGTTACCACACCAATTGTGATGAGTATAGAATTTCAAAGCACACAGTGTAAATTAGCTTGCAAAACAGACTTGAAACAGTGGCTAGGAATAAGGACACATAACTGCACACACATGTACACAGGTATTTCTACATATACTTCCCCCACCATATTACTGGAAAGAATGTAGCAATTGTGTCACACACAGACAGACAGACATACACACAGAGTGAGAGTGGGAGCAAAAGTGAGAGAGAATGAGAGAGAGAGACAGTTGAGCTAATGAAAAGTTACCAGCTCTTCCAAAATCTATCAGATAATTGGGCTCTTGTTCCCTCGTCCCCTAATAGTAATCATTTTAGCATGCTCAGATCAGAATCCTAGAAGCTTGATGCAATACTAGTAATGACACTTAAAGTGTAAATAATGCAATATGTGCATGCACTGAAACATTCCATCAATATAAATTTTATAACTAGTGTATCAGCTAAAACTAATTGAAAACTTAAACAATAGTCTGAGCCCAAGAGTTAAACACTTTTGCACAGAGGTATAGGACTGCAACTTTGTGAGTTTTGCTTTCGGGTGCAGTGCTAGTTTTCAAGGTCAAGTTCAGATAACTGTACTTCATGCTTCTGGCAAGTTGAAAGGGAAAAATATTCATTTAAAAATGAGCTCAGAACACTCTGTTCTTCTTTTCAAAAGTCCATTCTCAAAGGAAACTTGTTTTTCAGATTCTAAAAAAAAATTAGGATTTACCAAAGCATAACAATGACCTGGGCAAAAAAGAACTACCTAACTGCACACCCATCTAGTTTTCTTGTTTCATCTGAATGCACGTGAGCATGGGAAACACTTAGGAAGGTGAATGTCTGTTGCAGGGGCTTATTTAAAGCCTGAGAGCTCATCATATAATTTTGGAATGGTTACCATCATTTCAATCAGACCAGGAAGTAGGAATGTAAAATATTCTAAGATACCAGAAGTTTCTGTGAATGACTATGTTGTTATATGTAAGTAGGCTTAACTGGCTATAAGTGGTTATTGTAAGTTATGGGGCTATAAATAAAATTTTAAGTATAATGACATACTAAAAGAAAGATAAATTGAAATAATGTTAAATAATCAGTCAAAAATAGATGAAGCAGAAACATTGGAAAACGAAAGAACAAGAGGAAGAAATATAAAGTGATACAAACATGATAGATATTTAAAGATCTGTAACAGTTATCACTGTGAATATAAGTGATCTCTTTGTGTTCATTGAAGATTCATTGACAAAGCAGTTTAGAAGGCCAAAATGGATGCTTTCTATAAGAAATTCACTTTAAGCCTGGCAGTGGTGGCGCACGTCTTTAATCCCAGCACTTAGAAGGCAGAAGCAGGAGGATCTCTGTGAATTTAAGGCTAGCCTGGTCTATGGAATGAGTTCCAGGACAGCCAGGACTATACTGAGAAACCCTGTCTTGAAAAACAGAAATAAAGAAAGGAAGGAAGGAAGGAAGGAAGGAAGGAAGGAAGGAAGGAAGGAAGGGCAGTTATAAGGTGTCCCATAATTCATCACTGTTAAAATTAATTAACATATGCTAACAGAAAACCTTTGGAAAAAAGAATTTAGGGCATCACTGAGCAAAACAAAGAAACAAAGAAAGAACACATAATTTCTTTCTGCTTTCATTTTGATATCTGCTCTAGAATTGTAACTGAGTTCCTCATAGTTGACGCTGCCTGTGGAAGGATCCATGACTCAGGGGTGTTGTCTTCCTATTCTTTAAGTTGAAGTAGTGTTTGAACAGGAATGGATAGAGGCTGGAGTTTGCTATGATTACTCTCAACTGGACTAGTTAGTAGTGTACCTCATTAGCAGAGAGCCTAGCCAGTGCACAGAGGGCCTGAGGCTTGTGGCACCACAGAAAAGATTTAAATATAATAACATCTTCAGTAATCAGGAGAATGACAGAAAAGGATTAAAAAATAAAATACACAAAAGAAAAAACATAGAGAAATAATATTTTTAAAAGGAAAAACGATTTTCCCCAGCCGAGGTGACTAGTGACTAGAAAAGCAAAAGAAGCGGATGATCATGGTGTATGCTGAGCACTGCTTCACTGTGCGGCTTCTTAGGGTTTGCCATGGAGATTCATATTCTTTCTGTTTCAGAACTTGCCAAGTATCCAGCATAAAGGAGGGTGGCAAAAGTTAGCTAAGCTTCGTTTCAGCTGGGTGGCACCAGGCAGAGATTCTCTCGGGAGGTTATTAGGCTGTGCAAACCAAGAACAGTGCAAAGCAGAGTTGCAGACCCCCAGATACTCTTGCGGTTTTCGTGGGGCATGGAACTGCGGCGTTCTGTGTTGGGAGTGGGGCCTTTTGAATCTTAGGATCCGCCACTCTCGATCCTGGTTTTCCTGCACATGGTACGCCCTAGAAACCTTTAGTTACATCCCTAGACCCAGAGGGCAGGCTCCCTGACTGACTGACTCTACCGCCCTCTACATTACAGCTTGCATTGCCTACAGCACAGAATTCTCAACCAGTTCGT